AAAAAAACTTTTTTATCGTTTTTTGCAAAAAAAAAAAAAATGAACGAATAAATTAGCCAAAAATAGTAGTCAATCTAGTTGATTTCAGAAATCGCTTAGTTCAATAATTCAGCAGTTTTGCAAAATCGATTGTAAAAGCAGATAAATTTATTATCAGTTTCTTTACTGGAAAATAGTTGACTGTCAGTGATGTTCAGCAAACCGCTCACACTTTTACAGTCAACTGAACTGCTGTTTATATTCTTTGCTGAACGGGACAAAGAAAGTGCTATTCTTTTTACGGTCAGGCAGACGTAAATTAATAGAATTAAATTACAGAAAAAGAAACTGATGAAAATCGAAGAGAGATAAAAATGGAAATGAGAATGAAAATAAACTTTTTCTTCACCAATCTTATCGCCTTTTTCTTCCCTCTCTTTCCTCCTTCTCCGCCCTTCCATCCTCCTTCTCCTCCCCCTCCCCCCGCACAGTTTTCTATCCCAGCCTCCTTTTTTTTCATCCTGTTTTTATTAAGCTACCGTTCAGGCAAAAAGAATTTTTTTTTTAAATTTAATCAGTGCAAAGTGACTGACAGTCGCTGAAAAGAAACGTTTGGTTGAACTTAATACATAACGATTAAATTTAATGTAAAAATTAAGCCAAATAACAACGATAAGAAGAAGCAAAAATTATAAAAGTAATCAAAACAGCAGCAGTAAAAAAACCCAGCTTTTACTGCTTTTAATTCAGGTTTGGTTTTTGTCTATTTTCCACAGGGAATTTTGAAAATTTGCAGAGTAGTATTAGCATTGAGGTTCAACAAACAGAAAAAAAAAAAGGAAAAACTGAGATTTGTGCTGATAAATTTCTTCTTCTCCTTCCTAACCTAAGTCATTTTTGAGTAAACTTACGATCTCATCGAAAACTCGAAATAATCAACTGTGCAGAAAAAAATTTAAAGAAAAAACCAGAAACAAAAGAAGGTTTTTTAGGTCTTAAATTTTCTATCTCGCAGCAGCAGATTACGAACTTTTGTCAATGAAAAAGAGATAAAATAAAACAACAGTTATATTAATCTAGTAAAAAGTTTGCAATTTTTTTCTTTGCAGCAACTTCGTATGCTTATTACGGAATTGACGATGGGTAAGGATATAATGAAAGTTCGAAAGAAAAACCTCAGATCTGCAACGCACACATTAATTGTGATTATCACTGCTTATTTAATTAGCAATTTACTCTGCTTGATACTATCATCAGTTGACTTTTTTTTTCCTGGTAAATTTTTTTATTTGCTTCTAAACAAACACTTACATATTTAATGCAGATTTACAGTTTTTTAGCTGAAATGTTCGTCGAAACAGTGAAGCTCAGTGAAAGCTTTGAAGCAAAATAAAACTAAGAATTATTCTTTTATGTATTATTTTGTGCTTTTTTTGAAAAAAAATGAAGACAGAAATGGAAATAGTAATAATAATACTTTTTAATAGTTTTTACTGTAATTTATGAAATTTTTTAAATTAATTCGCATGTCGTGAAAAATCCTAAAAAATTTATTGTAATTGACTGTGTTTTTTGAAATTAAACGACAGCCATAAC